TCGACGATTACCGTCTCCTTTACTGTGTGATGCCTAATGTCTTAAAATCATTGTTTCATATAGTTGTCTGCTTTTAAAATCATTTCAGTTATAAGTGCTGATATGGCCTGGCTGTGTCTCCACCCAAATCTCGTCTTGAATTGTAGTCCCATAATTCCCATGTGTTGTGGTAAGGACCCAGTGGGAGATAATTGAATCATGGGGGGCAGTTTCCCCCATACTGTTCTTGTGGTAGTGAATAAGTCTCATGAGATCTGATGATTTTATAAGGGGAAACCCCTTTCACTTGGCTCTCACTTCTCTCGTCTGCCACCATGTAAGATGTACCTTTCACCTTCCACCAGGATTGTGAGGCCTCCCAGCCACATGGAATTTATTTTTTAAATAAATTACCGTCTTGGGTATATCTTTGTCAGCAGTGTGAAAACAGACCAATACAAGTCTGCATTCATTCCCTGTTATTTCATCCTGGCCAGAAGCAGAAGTTTGGAATTATTTTCTAAAATTTAATTTTGTTTTACAATTATATAAATTTGTTGTGGTTCTAAAGTAAAATAAACAGAATATGTTACATTCAAAGGACAGTGGGTACTAAAATTTGTTTTACAATTATGTAAATTTTTTGTGGTTCTAAAGTAAAAAAAACAGAACATGGTACATTCAAATTGTGGTTTGTATTTGCATCTTGTGGTTAATTTTGACCCAAGCTAAGCTGCATCCTCAAAGGATGTGTAGCCAATAACTTCCCTAAGGTACGGCATACAGAAAAAGGACTAGGACATGGTCAGCTACATGGGCTCACCAACTGACTCCAACCCTGCTCATATCACCTGGCCAAGGAACTTGAGTTTCTCTCTCTCTAAATTCTAAGGGGCATTGGTTATTTCTCACTTCACAGTATCACAAGCCTATAGACTCATTGTCTTCCACTGACCAGCAATAATACAATAGTATGGGGAATCTATTGGAGCCCCATAGAATGAAGACATATTGTGCATCCTAGGCATGCCCATCCCCCACAAGTAACCTCAGGCAGCAGTCCTTATATTAAGTGTCTCTCTGGTGCCCATGGCAACCCCAGCTTTTAATGCTGAAATGTTACCACAGGTTTGCTTTTTGGTTTGGAGTTGTTTTTTTTTTCTGGAATCTTTTTGAATAAACTGTTGATGTTGCAGTTTTTGCACATCCTTCAACTTCTGCAGAATTCACAGTCAGAACTTATGAGCCTGAATCCAATCAGGTTTGCTAAGACCCACTATCTAAAAGCTGACTTACGCAAAAACTAAAATAAATAAAAGCTGACATGCATTCTTACTGATTAAACTTGCCATTTAACAAAAGCACTTGATATTTCAGAATTAATTTTCTTCCTTTTATATTTTTTCTTAATTACAATAGAAAACTATTTTGGGGGAAAACTTTTGCAAATCTTCAAATTTATGTGAACATCCACTTTATGTGTGTGCACATACAAATACCTAAATGAATATTAATTTAAAAGTACATATTCTTTATCTAGAAAGCTCTGCATACCTTTCTTTTCAATTTACTAATTCTATGGGCTAGCATCTAAAATAGATTGACATTAGTTGAGGACAGAATCTTAAAACCTTCTGTGTACCAATAGATATTTTAAATTACTTATAATTACTCCTTCATACATTCTTTAAAATTCAACACTTGATTTTAAAAGAAGACACAAACATCAGTTTCTGTGAAGAAACTTGCTAGGGTCCTGGCTGCATTTGATAATATTTCCTGGTTTAGTATCTTTCCTCCCAGAGTGCACAATTACAGCACCTTGATTTAGGGTCCTCACACTTTCACTGAAATTGTTTATCCATTTTTGCTTCTCTGATACAATTATTATTGTTTTAGCTTTTGAAAAACTGGATTTTAAAATTGTATTCATTTAATGTGTCTGTCTTTAAGAGATTAAAAATCCTTCATTTGTATGTCATCTGTTAGCGAACATCTATAAACATGCAATAGAATACCAAGTTAATTAGAAGAGCCAGAACTCTATTCTAGAAGCACCCACCTCTGAAATGCAGCCACTTCGTGGATAAAAAGCAACAGCTGTGTGAAAACAGTGCCGCTAGCACTGCACACCTGCTTAAGGCAGGAAGTAAATGGAAAAACTTTCCCTACCTGAATTTGCAGGGGGCAGTTTTTAAAGCTGGAATGGGATAACCCCACATGGGAATTTGATCCAAACACTCAGGATTAAATCTTGTCTTATAACACATGATGGATAAGAACATCATTATCAAAAAGAGGCATGTTCTTGGGGTGAAGAGAAAGGCATTATTGAGGGTAGCAGCCACAGGCTAGTTTCATTCTTGTCTGTGTCCACCCAAGATTCAGGTTGAACCTACCAGAAATTTAGGCAAGACCTGGTGGACTGCAGCAGTTGTAGGGAGGCAGTTACATACAGTCATTCGTTACATGTGAAGAGGAGCTTTCTGGCTGATTTTAGGAAGGGCTAGCCCAGGCAGGAGGAAGTTTAACCTGACCGGTTTGCTAAGCAATGCCAGGTAGTTACTATAAGAGATGGTCTTGACTGGGTGCAGTGGTTAGCACCTGCAATAACAGCACTTTGGGAGGTCAAGGTGGGAGGATCTTTGAGGATAGGAGTTTGAGACCAGCGTGGCCCACATGGCGAAACCCCGTCTCTACTAAAAATACAAAAATGTAGGCATGGTGGTTCATGCCTGTAATCCCAGCTACTCGAGAGGCTGAGGCAGGAGAATCACTTGAACCAGGGAGGCAGAGGTTGCAGTGAGCCGAGATTACACCACTGCACTTTAGCCTGGGCAATAGAGTAAGACTCCATCTCAAAAAAAAAAAAAAAAAAAAAGATGTCTTTTCCTATGAATGGTTCCATTAATTATCCATGTGGACTGGAATTGTTTCTCTTGAACAGTTACTGATACAGATATTCAAACAGTTAATGAGACTCCATCTGTATAGGGACTTCCAAGTGGGAGTGCAGGCTGAATTGATTAGTTTTAGATGTGAGGCTTTTTTTTTTTTTTTTTTTTTTTTTTTTAGCTAGAAGAAAACCCAGAGTCCAAACAAACAGCATTTGTAAAGTTCTGAAAAGACATTGCTACCAGAAATGGGAAAAGAAAAAAAGAATACTTTTGAGCAAACCCTACTTCCTTTAAAATGAAAAACAATGGTAAACGTTTTCATATGTAATTAAAATCTCATTCTAAAGTTACCACCGCCACTGGCTCCCAAAGAACTCAATTAACAGGAAACCGCAAAGAATATGGTATTTTCTTTGAGACGCTTTAAGAAATGCTCCTAAGTAGACAATGAGTTGGTTAGTAGCTGTTACCTACAAAAGGATAAGCAATTATGGTTCATTCGAGGGGAAAAAAGGGGAGAGGATAAGGCTAAGAAAAGTAGGTTTATAATATGGAAATTAGATTTTCAAGTGTGCACATTTATCATCAGATCTATACTGAAATCCAGACGGTACAAAGTCTAACTTTACTTAAGAAAATTACCTAATTTTTTTTTTTTAATAAACTGCACTCACTCCCCTCCCTCATTTAAAATATTTCAGCTGAGAAAGGAAAGACGCTTGCTCCCCGCACACCTCAGTTCTCCTTTCCCAGACAGGTTTTCTTTTCCTACAGTTAAAGACTAAATGCACAGTCGTGGGGACCGGCTCACCTTCCAGGAGTTGGTTCTCCAGATGTCCCTGACACCAGCAGGTTTAATTTTAGAGTATGGAAGGAGGCCTCCGAAGGTGTGTGGCCATTGAGGAAAGAACGGAAGAGACCATTTAGGTCACTCTGCTTGGTCTTCACTTCAGCGAAGTTGAAAACCAAGCCAGTAAGCAATGAGTGATTTGATGAAGCTATGCTTCAGGTGTCTGCCTCTTGGAGTTCGCTGAAAAGCTGGATCTTATACATTTAGCACCTGAAACAACCGAAGGCAGACGCAGGACACTGGCAGATTGGGACGAGGAGGGTCTGTCTCCCCTGATGACCGGGCCCACCCGCCACACCTGGGCAAGGGCGGCAGCGGTGCCTGCTATTAGAGTTAAGCAGCAAGGGCAGGGACACCTGGGATGTCAAAAAAAATTATAAATAAGTACTAGCAAACTACCTGTTAGTTTCTACCTGTGAAGACCTAGGAAGACTAAACAGCTCCTTAATTTCTGGACTTTCCCTTGGATCACAGAAGGAGACCCTGGGAATTTTCCGATTTCTTCTTTCTTAAAGGCTTTTTTTTTTTTTTTCCGGGCTTAATGGAGATCTTGAACTGCAGAGCCGCCGTGTCAGAACTCAGATGGTTAACATTCACTTCTTGCTGTTTTATTGCATATTACTGTGCGCGCCTGAGCAGCGGGAGCAGATTCGGGCAATTACAATCAAGTCAGGGCACACGCCGCGGCGGAGCAACACGAGCATGATGAGGATACTGATGAGGCACTTATCGAAAACCCCACATCATCCACACTCATCAGCCACAACATGTCACCCCAAATGAGGCATCAGCTGCCTTCAAAAGGCTCATTGCACAGTGTTTACCGCTTCCCTCGGACCCACTTTTGATTTTACGGTCAGAACTGGGTTCAAACAGCAGCTGTCTGGCAAGGGCAGGTCTGCGGCTCCTCGCAGCTTCCGCGGGCGTCGGGAGTCCTGGGGCTTTGTCTGGGGAGTTTTGGGGAGCAGGGGCTGGCAGGGCGAGAGGGCGCGGAAAGCAGAGAAGTGTCCAGTTCCGTTTCTCGCAAAGAGGAATCCGTTTCCCAGAAGGGGCCCTTGATTAATTTCAAGCACTAGCACACAGTGGTGGCATAATGGGGGGAGTGGGAGGGAAGCAAAATAAGGAGAGTGTGACAGGTCTCCTTAGAATAGTAGCAGGGTGGGTGGGACCTCTCACGCAGGCACAAGTCCTAGAAAGGGCAATCCCTTTGGAAAAGACAAACCCAACCAGTAGAACCGTTCAAGTGGTCACAATTTTTAATTTTCATCATCAACTCTTTCTTGGGTGGTTGGGGGAGGCGTTCATTAGCAATTTATAGAAGGACTCCTCCCACCCCCACCACCAAAATCCAGTTTTTCTGCTGTAGAAGAAAGAAGTATTCCTAAGTAATACTCCTTAAAACTATTTGGTTTTACTCCTTGAAACTCTTTCTTCCTTATTGCTTTGGGTTAATGCAACTTGCAGCTAAACACTTGGGGGATTCTAATTGTTTACATTTAGAAAAAAATGTGAAATCCATTGCCATCTATGTTTCAATCTGTGTCTTTCCTGGTAGGGGGAGTGTACCAGGCTGATACCATCTTTGCACATATTTGTAATGACTGGATTAATCAATGCATTTATTTTAAAGCTAAATGATCATGATTTTGTAAAATTCACCGTACAGTAAAACGTTTCCGGTTCAATCTAGACCAGTTGATCCAATACCAATAAAAACCACATAGACTCAATTCTTCATTCATTTGGAACATTTTCAGCCCACTCCCCTCAAGCCCCAGTGAGTGCTAGCTTAGCCATCCAAAAAAGTAAGAATTAAGAGCAGCATGTGGCAGGGAAGAAAGGTGAATTTCCTGCCCCCCAAACCTATAATCTGTCCTGGAGACAATGCCACATGCAGAGCATCGTTCAGCAAGGGAGCAAGGGAAGACTAGGCAGGTTCAGAGAACAATGTGGACAGAAGGTAGACCATCAGGCAGAGCCACACACCCTAACCAAGGTCCAGAATCCTGGGACTTAGAAACAACTCCAGTGCACCTGCTGTAAGTCTGGAGCGTACCTTTGGGAATAGGGTGTCACGAACTCCGCTCTTTTCAGTTTCATCACATCCATTGCTACTTTCTTTTCACTGTTTTTTTTTTTTTTTTTTTTTCCTACATAATTCCACAGCAGTTGGCATTTGGCTTTTAACATCTTTACAAAAAAAAAAAAAAAAAGATTTTAACATCTTTACAAAAAATGGGGAACCAAAGAAAATACTAAAGTAGATCTCTAGGTTTGAAGAGTTTTAGTAGTTTTAAGAAACTAATTTATTTTTTCTGGTAAGTCCTTTTATTCACTTTTAGATGTTAACAAACTGGAGCCTCCAAGAATTTATGAAAGGAGTTCCTTTCTGTCTGTTCCATCTCAGGGGTTCTGCTTGGCTTGTTTTCTCCCAGATCCCTTCCTCTTCTAAATTTTTAAAGTCTCCTTTCGTGTCCCTGACCTGATAATATTCTAGTGTGTCACATTTTACCCAAACTCTTCTCTAGCGTCTGGGGGCTTTTTCCTAAGTTTAAGCCACGTGTTTGTACTACATGCTTGGATTCAAGGGAAAACCTCACGACCTGGTCTAGGATGGTGACCATAAACATCAGAGGACCCACTCGACCTACTAAGCTTCAAAAGAGTGAAGGCAAAAGGAGGCAAGTTTGTGCCTTCGTTTCGTTTGTCATCATGGATTCCTCGGGGCCTCCAGGCTTTGTGCACCAAGAACTTGTGTTTATTGCATGATGTCAAGTGAATACTAAAGAGAAGAGGAAATGTGAGTGCAGAAAAGAAAATGAATGGGTACTACAGGATAGGGGAGAATTTGGGAAAGTTAGATTAAAAAGTAACTCAAGGCTGATATTCATCTTGGTCCTTCTAAGTTTTGCCTATGACTCATTTTCATGACATGATAACTCATAACCTTTAACTTAGTGTTTCCTTTTAGAGCTCTCCCAGTAGGTGACCTCTATTGATGATATAGAAAGAAAATGAGTATTTAATTAAAGTTCAGCTCTTGATCATGGAGAGGATTCATTAAACTATTAGATGTATTTATATGAACTTTAGCAACCTCTATCAACAATGCCTGCCATTGGTTCTAGAGATTGCAAACATGAGTCATAATTCCTCAGGAAATTTTAATATTGGTGGTGTGTGTGTTTAAAATTTTTACATATATTGGATACTCTTCGATATCTTCCTACCAATAGAAGTCAAGGCTGGGAGAAGCAGAGGGAAGATTGCAAATGAAAAATGCAACATGATAAATTCTAGACTATTATCCAAACTAAATTAAAAGAAATTATTCATGTAGAAGATCAGAGGAATCCGCTGGTCAGATGGCTATTGAGGCCCCTAGTTCTCAACCTCTGATTTAGGAATCTAGAGAAAAACAATCCTGCAGGATCCCTGCTGGGAGCTTCAGAGAAGATCCAGGCCAGAAAGAGACAGTTTGCATGTGCGTATATGCAGGCAGCATGGAGTGTGTGTGTGTGTGTGTGTGTGTGTGTGTGTCTTTGTGGGGTCATGATCTAACGCTCTTTGTGATGCACATTCTAAATTAGGCAAAAGGGTTGCATCTTTCAAATGCAGATCATGTTTGCATTAGAAGAGCAATGAGAACACTTGTCAGTTTCAGAACATTTATGTGCTAGAAGTACTGTTAGCAGAAGAGCAGTTTAGATAAATTCAAGACTTTTTTTGCTGATCACAAACATTAAGCTTCACACCTGAAGCCCTCAACCCCCTGCTGTGCTCTAATCCTAGCACCATTCACCCTTAGAGACTCAGAGTGCTGTGCCTCAGCTCTCAAACCTTTGATTGCCCTTAGTTTGAATGCCACCACCTGCAAAAATGCCTTTTTATTCCCTTTGAGCCTCTTGAGAAGGAAGTAAAAATGATAATTCATGACAAACATTAATTAATTGTTTACAAGATGATCTTTTCTTTTTCCAACTTCTGTTCAGCAGACATGTTGAACTGCAAGATTCCACTCGCGACGCCAGAATTCGTCAAGAGTTCTGCATTGTTGTTTCGCACTGAGGCATAGGACTGGCTCAGGCCATTGTTTCTCCAGCTCAAGTGGGCCTGTCTGGTTCATGTTGGAAGAATGGAGGTGACATGCGTGAGTTCCTGAGTATAAAAGAACTACTGGTTCTAGGAAAAAACAGGAGGTTAGCCACTAATGCAGAGTAAATAAACATTTTTCACCACCTCTTGCTCCATGTGATTTTTAAAGGTCAAGAGCTGCCATTACAGTATTTTAAAAGCTTCAAATTACATTTAAAGAACGTATCACTAAACTCACAGAAACCTTATCAAAATTTAGGAACCTACTGTGATTGTTTGGTCCTTGAGTTTATCATCCCACTGGAAGGTGGATTGTAAAAGGAATGCAGATGCCCCCGTTGTTTCTGATATCCTGCAATTTGTGCAAAGTGAATGCTGCTCAAGTTCTTCCAAATTTCCCTTCAAAATATGGAAAGTGTTAAAGACACTTCAGTTTCAAAATCTTATACAAGCTACATTGCAGGTCAAACATGTAGGGCAGGGAAGAATAAGGCTCTGGGGCCTTTCATGACAAACACCTTCAAAATGCAAAGAGATGTTCATGTTCCCTTGAAACTTCCAAATGTGTGAGTGTGAAAGAAAAAGAAGTAAAAGGCTGAGGGAGATTTCTTTTTTAAATTAAAGAATAAAAAGCTTACTTCAAGGAAGTGTAGAGTAACAGCAGAAAGACTTCCTCAGCAACTGAGGTTTTCAGATTTCAAATTAGGAGCCCTTAGATCACGGCTGCTAGGCTAAAAATCAATTCTATATTTTCTGAGTTAATACTAAGGATAGCACTTAACAGACATGGAGACTAATAAGGTATGCAGAAGGAGTAAAAGCAGCGCACACACACAAATTCAGGCCTTAGTTTTGGCCATGATCCAGCACAATGATGTTTCAACCAGATTTGAAAAAAAAAATCAATAACATCTGTGGTATAATGGTTAATTAAAGCAGCTCTTCAGCAGAGCTCAGGAGGAGAGGCTCAGCCTGAAATTCAGACAGCTGAAGCTTGATTATCAGGAAAGAATGCTTTTTTAGCTATGAGTGGATAGGCCAAAAGCTGCAATGTGCCGAAATGGGGAGAAAAATTGCTTTTATTTTAACTTTCTTTAAGTAATCAATACATGCTTTTCACCTGCATTAGGACACTGCTCAGCTCCAAAGCCTGTTACTCCACTTCAGCATAAATTCTAGCTGCTGTCTTTTAAAGCTTCGGTTTAAAAAGGAGCCCCCATCCCCTGTAAAGCAAAAGAAAAGAATATGCAGGTTTGGGTGCATGTTCTTGAGAGCAGTTAAAGCTCAGGCTATAGGATGGTCCCAGGGGTTTAATCCATAAGCCATGTACCAAGCTGACCCAACCTTGGGGTACACAGAGGTCATAGCCAGACTACTAAGGCTTCACAATAGAACTGCTAAAAATTCTCAAGGAAACTGAAGAGCAAGGTCAAATTTCCCACTGCTTTTCATCTTCCTATTGTTTTGAGTAGTGTGCAAAAGATGTTTTCTTTACCTTTTTGAGGGCAAAGCTCAATAAATCAACAACGATGCCTTTTGCAAGGTTAGTAGGTGACTTTTAAAAAGAAAAAAGTAATCGGTAACACCTCATCTATTTTCTTAACACTTTGCTTTGGCTTCTATTTCTGATATTGTTCCTGGACAGTGGAATCTGTGTATTCACATCATCATTGTCAAATTTCAAGATGCATTTGTAAAATGATATTGCCCCCTCTGGATTACACTAGTCCTCCTATAGCACATAGTTAGTCAATTGGTCATTTATTTTTTCATTCAGCAAGTTTTTCTTTAGTGCCAAGCATGTGCCTATCACTATGCTGGGTGGTTTCTGCTGTAGGAAGCTCATAGCTTGTTAGAAGGCTGTGTGCTTGTGAACAAATAATTACAAACACAGTGAGAAAATAGCTCAAATAGAAGTGTCTGAAATGGCTAAACATTTTGAAGGCCCCCCCGAGTCAACTGCACTTGGGAAGAGACAGAGTGAAGGTTTGGGAGCGTCAACAGAAAATCTTCTTGGAGTGAAATCATGGAAAATAAGTGTCTCCAGGAGGACAAGGAGAGAAAGGCAGAGAAGGCATTCAAAATTTACATATACTTATGTGAATTACGAGTATCAATTCAGAAGAATATATATGAAAGAAGTGATATAGATATTTTATAAAACCTTCTGAATTAATCTTTTTGAAATTGATACATAATAGATACACATATTTTCAGGGTATAAATGACATTTTGATGCATTCATATAATATGTAAAGCTCAAATGAGGGTAATTAAAATATCCATTAACTTAAACATTTATCTTTCTCCTAGGAACATTTGAATTATTCTCTATTAGATTGGTTATTACTTTTATCACATCATTTTGCCATTACCTGAAAAGTAGTATAATGTGATTTTAATATCACATTAAAAGTCATGGCAAAATGGTGTGATTACTTTTGCACCAATGTAACAGCTATTTTGAAATGTACACCAGATGACTGTAAACTAGAGTCATCCTACTGATTTATCAAACACTGAGTCTAACTGTATATTTGTACCCTCAGTCTCTTCATACCCTTTTCTCTCTGCACTTCCCAGCCTTTGATAACCACCAATCTACTCTACCTTTATGAACTCCACTTTATTTGCTCTCACATGAGTAAGAACATGCAATCTTTTTCTATGCTTAGCTTATTCACTTCCATTCATATTGCTACAGATACATTTTACATCATCTATCCTCATTTTAAGAACCATCTGGATCACAGATTCCAACACCTTCCTTTATGGCTATCACAATCAAGTAGTTCTGTCCTTCCTCTGACTACACTGTCAGCGGAGGTTGAAATTCACTGGTATCTTCTCTTCTCTAAAACATAGCAACTTTGCCTTTTCCTCAGGGTTCCATTTTTTCATCCTATGACTTTTCTTTTAACCAGTTTCTGGGCCCTTTCCAGATTCTCCTTCTTTCTCCATCATTTCAAAATGTGAAGTAGATTTAAAGGAGCCAAGAAGCTGGTCTGCCCATCAGTCTTCTCTACTCTAAAGTAGATTTTAAAGGAACTAATAATAAAAGCCCAACACTTTTCATCTTAAAAATGTTGGTCTTTGGGTAAAATCCTACAATAACATACTATGTGATCATGGGCAAGTAATGGGATTTCTCTGGGCTTCAGTTTTCCATCTAAAAAATGGACATAAAAACAATAACTGCCTCATAAGGTTATAATGTGGACAGGGTGAGTTAAATTTATAAGTGTTTAGAGCAGTGCCTGGCACAGAAAAATTGCTGTCAGTGATTGTTGAATAAATCATAGTTACCAGCACCTATTTTGCACAAGATTCCCTGAGTGAGGCTTTGTGTTCCCAGCCAAATCTCATCTTGACTTGTAATTCCCATAATTCTCATAATTCCCACCTGTCAAGGGAGAGACCAGGTGGAGGTAATTGAATCATGGGGGACCGTTTCCCCCAGGCTGTTCTCACAATGGTGAGCGAGTTCTCAGGAGACCTGATGGTTTTATAGGGGTTCCTCCCCGTTTCCTGGGTACTTCTTCCTACTGCCTTGTGGAGAGGGTCGTTTTCTTCCGCTTCACCTTCTGCTATGATAAGTTTCCTGAGGCCTCCCTAGCCATGCTAAACTGTGAGTCAATTAAACCTTTTTCCTTTATACATTACTTAATCCTTCCCTGCTTTGATATAGATCAATTCTGAACTATCATTTTGAGTTTGATTTTTGTCCTTTAATGTATTGGCAACTCATATGTAAAGCCAATTACTTACTTCCGATTTTTTATTTTGTTTTCTATGTCTTAAGATACTTTTAAAATCATGTTACCAGATTTTCTTAGCAAAGGAGTGATGTTGCCTTTACATTTCTCTGTGTTGTGTCTAAGGTTTTCTATCTTGAGGACTGGCTTTCCATTCTTGCATTTGTTTTCCTGGCTTGTCTATGCTCTTCCTTGGCAAGTTAGTGTAATTTCAACTTTTACAGCCATTTAACACCCTGTGTTTAATTCTTTTAGGTTTAAGTAATTAAACTTAAAGTGCAAATATTTTGAGCAACTATCAGTGTAGGTGCCATCCTCTCTGCTGGGAATACACAGATGTGATGTGTATCGGTGAGGCTTTGTTTCAGCCACTATTGACAGAAACTTAAGTAGGTGGCTTAAACACATTCAGGTTTATTCTTTTGCATAAATTAAGACTGAAGTTGGCTCAGGGGATGATTCCAAAGAATCATCAAACCCAATGTCATTTATGTCCCATTTTGGTTTTTACCCTCAAGGTTATCTTGTGGTCCAAAACAGTTGCTGAAACATCAGCTGCCACCTGTATCCCAGGCTACAGGATGAAAGATTGAAGGAGTTTTTATCAGAACTCTCAATAATTCTGCTCATATCCTATTTGCCAGAACTTAGTCACATACCTAGCTGCTTCCTGCTTCCGTCCCCACTCCCATAGGCTGAACAAGCACGGTGAAATGTAGTTTTATCAGATTTCCCAAAGAACAGTCTCCATTGATTTGCAGGGACTTATGAAAATGTGTGTCTCACCTACAAGTCACAAAGTCACTGAAGGGTAAGGAGTAGGCCTTGGTTATTTTTATAAAGAGATTGTGCTTGGCTTGGGGGCTGCTCAATGATCGCCAATAGGTTGATTTCCTGCGCTTGAAAAAGTGTTTTTTAAAGACCATTCGGCTCCTCTAGGCTTCTTTGCCACTGAAGAAGAATGTCCACCTCAGATATTTCTACCAATGTAGAATGACTTTCCTGAAGTTTTGGTCTCATTCTGTTTACCAAATAGCATATAACTTTAGGCAGATCCTTTAGCTTCTCTGACCTGCATTCTCTTACATATTCATATCCTGTTATTTTGAGCATGGGGAAATAATGAAAGTGATATGAAAATATTTCATGTTTCTCTAAAGATCTTATAAATCATAATTACAGAATTTTTTCCCCTTTGGCAAGGACAAAGTTGTATATACATATACGGTGCAGATTTTTAAATAGGAATAATACCATACCAGTGAAAATCAAATGAATAGATTAAAAATGCTTTGAAAACATTAAGTACTGTTTGTGTAATATGTTTTTTGTCTGTTTATATAAACACAGAGGGTTATATTTTGTTTGTTACATTAATAAGTTTCATTCCGATTCACAAGGAGTGTAAAGGAGGTAGCTTCTGTTCTTGTAGTTAGGGAGGAAATGTATACATGCGAAACTACTTGGAAAAATTTCATTGCAGTATATAAGGATCGGCATGATAAAGAGGTTTATGTTGTGCAGAGAGGCAGTTCATAAATGTTGAGGAAGAATTTCGGTTGAAAAATCTACCAACACATACGAGGAATAATTCATTCAATAATAGTTATCAGTAGGAAATAATGGGAAAGCAGTAAGCAGAATTATAAAGCTAGAATGAATTAAATAATAAAGCAGAGGTGATATTGACACGATGTAAAATCTTGCTGCTTGAATATTCAAAACCTGAGGTCAGATAAACTCTATTACTAAATTTAATACACTTCTAAATGAAACACATTTAATTTTTATTTTCTGGATTCATTTCACTTGAGAGAACACTAAAATAGACTCGTGGCCATTAGCTAGCAACATCATCAGCTAAGTGATACCTATTACAGAGAGAATTTCAACCTTTTATCAGTGTTTTGTTTTAGAGGCTTAACCATTATACACTAAATACACCATCAGAAGAACGAATAGTAATGCCTAGCACTTTTCAACTCAAAAAGCCTTTTATGCACATTAACAAATTAATTCAAAAAACTCAGCAAGACAAACAGTATACAAAATAATCCCCATTTTACAGAAAGTGAAATAAGGCTAAATTACTTAAGGGAATATTCACACCAGAGAAAGGCAGGGGTTGAGATGATTACATCCACAGTGAAATCAAAGAAGCCCTTAGATTCCCAAAATGTGTTCTGTATACTCCATCTTTTATTTCTGAAATGCTCTTTTACTGTTAAACTAGGTTGTGGAAACAAACTCAATAGTGATGTGTCGGACCTAGAACAAGTAATAAGGACCGCTGTGCTGTGCCTAGTTCATTGCTAATTATCTTTGGATATCACAAATATATTGACTTGTGATCACCTGTCATCTTTATCATTTATTAGTAGTCTCTTGTTCTCAGTTTCATCATATGTAAAGTTTGCAGAATAGCTTTATACTTACCTATTAAGCATATACACTTACCTTACATTCTCATATGAGATAAAGGATGTGAATGTTTGAAAACTCAAGGAACTCCATTTCAAATGTCTTCTGCATAGCACACTCTGATGTATTCACTCCCAACTCCCCTAAAGGCAAAGAAAAGCTCACATTAAAACTAGCAACTCTGCCAACATGATGGAAAAACTTTTTTACTAATTACAAGACTAACAAAGCTGGAATGAGGAAAATAATAATCAGCCTATGTTAATTCTCAACAGAATAGTGCCTGTTCACCTGTGGCCAACATTTCTGATTGGCTTATACAAACAATAGCTCTACCCAAGCACCCTCTTCTTTGCCCCAGGAAGGAAGGCTTGCTTTCCAAACATTCTAGTGCAGCCCCCTCCTCCTTCCTCTTGCCTTGAATGTGAAAGTGAGAGTGCAGCCATTTTGAGACCATGTGGGAACATGTGTGGATGAAAATCCAACACTAAGGATGGCAGAGTAGAATGATGGAAATGTTTTTCCATGATGTTGGCAGAGTTGCTAGTTTTAATGTGAGGTTTTCTTTGCCTTTAGGGGAGTTGGGAGTGAATAGAGATACAGTGGAATCTCTAGACTAATCCTGAAGTTGCCTACTTACAGACCTGATGGGTAAATAATTAATGTTGCTCCAGTCTATTCGACTGTTGGCCTTTCTATTACTCATAGCTGAAAGTGTTCCTAACAGAAATACCATGCTGAAGATGGTGGGAAGGTACAGGGTTTTCAGCACGACTATCTCCTCTCTGGCTTGGGACGAAGACCTAGCTGCTTTCCATTTCTGTGCAGCTTTCCACTTCTGTGCAGATGCTGCTTTTTAAAGTAAATCATTTGTATTTCTCTGATTACAATAGCATCAATGTACATTGTAGAAAATACGGAAAGTTAGAAATACACAAAGGAAAGATGAAATAACCCATAATCTCACCAGCCAGCGATAACCATTAATATTGTACTACATATTTTTCTATGCATAAATATACATATATATTTAAATTTTAAAATAAATTCGAGATAATGCTGTATATATCAGTTTACAAAAATCTTTTTCTACTTTTCACTATTTTTCATATTTTCTATGTATTTAGATATCTATCATTATCTTAATGGCTATATGGTATTTTACTATGGAAATATCATTTATTTAATCAGTATTCTATTAGTCATGCAGACTATTTCTAAATTTTCACTGTCACCAACCCCAAACAAAACTATTTGCATATGTCCAAGATTTTTTTTTTTTTTTTTTTAACACGGAGTCTCGCTCTATCACCAGGCTGGAGTGCAGTGGTACATCTAGGCTCACTGCAACCTCCATCTCCTGGGTTCAAGCGATTTTCCTGCCTCTGCTTTCCATGTCACAACTGACTCTGACCCTCTTACCTCCCTCTTAGGAACAGCCTTGTGATTACATTGGGCCCACCTGGATAATCCAGGAATATCTCCCAATCTCAAGATTCTTCATTTAATCACTTTCCTGAAAAGTTCTTTGGCCATGCAAGGTAATGGTTACGGGTTCCAGGGAATAGGAAGTGGATCTCTTTAGGGGGCAGGGAGGCTTTACTCTACCTGCCACACCACTACATTCTGTGGTAGGCCTGGGAATGCTAAGGTAGGCTTCATTCTGAGTGGAAGAATTAGTTATCAATAAATGACTAATAATAATAATGACAGCTAATACTTTTTTCTTTTTTTGAGATGAAATTTTGCTCTTATTACCCAGGCTGGAGTGCAGTGGCACCATCTCAGCTCACCACAACCTCCGCCTCCTAGGTTCAAGCAATTCTCCTGCCTCAGGCTCCCAAGTACCTAGGACTACAGGCATGTGCCACCATGGATGGTCTTGATCTCTTGACCTCGTGATCCACCCTCCTCAGCCTCCCAAAGTGCTGGGATTACAGGTGTGAGCCACCACACCCAGCCTGAGGCATGTTCTTAAAAGCAGAATTGCCAGGTGTGGTGGCTCATGCCTATAATCCCAGCACTTTGGCAGATCACCAGGCCAGGAGTTCAAGACCATCCTGGCCAACATGGTGAAACCCCGTCTCTACTAAAATATAAAAAATTAGCCAGGCATGATGGCACATGCCTGTAGTCCCAGCTACTCGGGAGGCTGAAGCAGGGGAATCGCTTGAACCTGGGAGGTGAAGGTTATAGTGAGCTGAGATTGCGCCACTGCACTCCAGCCTGGTGACAGAGTAAGACTCCGTCTCAAAAAAAAAAAACAAAAGTGGAATTACTGTGGTCAAAAGAAACACACACTTACTTTTAAGGCTTATAACGCCATTTCTAAATGGTATTTCAAAACCGTGATTATAATTTGTACTCCTGCTAACAGTTTAATAGGAATCCATTTCCCTGAAGCCTGGTATACATTTGGAGGAAGCCAAAATACTGTCCCACATTGACCCCATATTTCCTTAGCTGTTCACGTCCTGAAATTGCTTTTTCACAAAGTGGGGATGTGGGAGAAGATTAGCAGGGGAGCAAGGGGCTTGGCAAATGCACTCTCTGCTGATAAACAGTCAAGGCTGAGGCAGAATGGGCCAAGGGTTGTGCAGCAACAGCCCTCACTGCAGCGCACAGATATTTGTGTGTTTCAGAGTTTTGGAGTGTCAGCAAATCAGGATGCAGAGGGCTAGAAGATCCCATCTCAGTGTATTACAGCCAAAATAGGGCCACTGCTTTGAATGAAAAATGATATCAAAAATACTCTCCCCACCCTACGTTTCCCCCCAATAAAAAGATAGCATTTTCTATGGGGAATTAAAAAAAATGGACTCAGATTTCTGCTCCTCAAAGTACATACCAAAATTATACACACAAAGTGAGGACAAGGTTAGCGTCTACATGGGTTGTACTTGGTTCAGAACTGAGTTGTCTTTCATATGTGAAACTATTAGAAACTTAGATCTGAAGCATATTATGGTGCTGCTCCAGTAGTGATGCATCCAAAATATATGAACATGCAATACATATTATAATATATACCTAGAATCATCTTTATTGATGAGAAATCTGAATTCCATCAATGACTTCTATTACCAAAGATTTTTTTTTTTTTTAACAACAATAAAGTCTGTTGAGGAAACCAGCCACATATGGTACTTAACTAAAAGCAGGAGACATTAATGCAGTTCACAGATCTGGAAACTGTAACTCAGAACTTCATAAGTGGGGTTTATGCCAAGCTCCCAGGCACAGAAACCGTGTTTCTGAGCTGGCAGGGGGTCTCTCTCCACCAGAAGACTGCATTTTATAGTTCCTAGCCAGGGCAGGCTTATCCAGTTAAGCATAGTAGGCACAGCGCCTATGGCACACAGTACTTTTAGGAGACCACAGAAATGTTCATTTTAATTTGTTTTTATACTTCAAGTTCTAGGATACCTGTGCAGAACATGCAGGTTTGTTCCATAGGTATACATGTGCCATGGTGGTTTGCTGCACCCATCAAACCATCATCTACATTTGGTATTTCTCCTAGTGTTACCTCTCCCGTATCCCCCCAACCCCAGCAGGCCCCAGTGTGTGATGTTCCCCTCCCTGTGTCCATTTGTTCTCATTGCTCAACTCCCACTTATGAGTGAGAACATGTGGTGTTCGGTTTTCTATTCCTGTGTTAGTTTGCTGAGAATGATGGTTTCCCACATCATCCATGTCCCTGCAAAGGACATGAACTCATCCTGCTTCCTGGCTGCTAATTTTTTTTTTTAAATCAGAAGAAACATAAGCTCAAACTAGTTGATATTCATAGCAATGTCATCATAACATTCTTAGTTTTTATAATTTTTTTTCCCTAGAGACAGTTTTACTGTCACCCATGCTGAAGTGCAGTGGGGTGATCATAGCCCACTATAACTTTAAACTCCTAGGCTCAAGAGATCCTTCTGCCTCAGCCTCCTGAGTAGTTGGGACTTAGGTGTGTGCCACCAATCCTGATTATTTTTTGTAGATAAAGGGTCTCATTATGTTGCCCAGGCTAGTCTCAAATTCTAAGTGATCCTCCTGCCCCAGCTTCCCAACACGCTGGGATTACTGGTCCAGCCACCATGCCAGTTGTTGTTGTTGTTGTTGTTTAAATGGAAGAAGGTACCACAAAAGTAAAAGTGCCTGGCCTAGCTGGAGAAACGAGCCCTGACCAGCCAGGCAAAAACCACAGCCCTACCAACTCAGTCTGGTTCCCAATCTCAGCAATCTTCCTTTTCCACTAAACCAGAATCTCTGAATTGACAGCTGCCATTTCAGTCTACTCTTATATCAAAGACTAATCCCTCTTCCAACCCCAGGCTGGTCCCTGAGGAAAAGGGCTCTGAGGAGGAACCTAAGGAAACTAAAAATGCATGCTCCACCACCCAGCGAAGAACAGGTTGAGTATTCCTGATCCAAAAAGCCGATATCCAAAATGCTCTACAATGCAAAACTTACTGAGCACCAGCATGATGCTCAAAGGAAATGCTCATTGGTGAATTTCAGACTTTTCATTTTTCAGATTCAGGATATTCAACCGATAAGTATAATACAAATAATACAAAATCAAAAAATATCTGAAATCTGAAACACCTCTGGTCCCAAGCATTTGGGATAAAGGATACTCAACCTACACTTCTCCAACTGAATGCCACTCTTTCTACTATATAACACTGGTACCAAGGGCTGAGATTTGGTCTTGCAATTCTTTAAACTTCACATAGTGCCCACTTGATAAATATGAGATGTCTGGCTGGCTGGGTACATGGATGAATGGATGGACAGATGGGAATGATAAGGATCAGAAGCCATCTTCAGATGCCTAAACCTTTAAACACCTAAGACAAAGATCAACAACATTTTTAAGCCACATAGTAAATATCTCAAGCTTTGCAGGCCATATGGTCTCTGTTGCAACTATTCAATGCTGCTATTATAATATGAAGAAACCATACACAATATATAAATGAATGTGACTGCCTTCTAGTGAAATTGTATGGACACTGAAATTTGAATTTCATTTAAATTTCACATCATGGAATATTATTTTTTCAGCCACTTAAAAATAAACAGCATTCTTAGCTCTCAGCATTGACCAAAAACAGGGAGTGAGCCAGAACTGGCCCGCAGATTGTAGTTTGCTGACCTTTGACCTGACCTATATGGTGGGATTATCTGGGAAAGACTTGCTGCAAATGAAAAGGCCACAGATGCTCCTGACGAAGTGGAGTCAT